CCCAAACCCCCCCTCACGCCCCCACGCGGTGTGTAATCGCGCCCCCCCACACCCAGCCGCCATCAACAGCCCCTCCCTCCGCAGCCTGCCAACGTCACCCCAGGAAACCGGACGGAGCACTTGCCACCCTCCCCCCACCGTACCCCCCCCGCCCACTCCCCCCCCCCCACCCCCCCCTCCCCCCCTCCCCCCTTACCCCCCCCCCCCCCCTCCCCCCTCCCCCCCACCAGCGGGAGAGCAAGCCCCACACCGCCAATTCTCATTCGGCACCCCCCCCCCCCCCTCCCCGAGGACGACCCTCACCATCCCCGGCCAAGCATCCATCGCCCACGCCTCTAAGAACCACTCCAGTACAACAGATCAGAACCTTCCCGACGCCTCAACTCTTACTTCCGCCCCCCACCCCCGCCCCTTAACCCCTACTCAGCGCCCCGTCCCCGTACAGAAACCCGTATTTACCCACCCCCACCATGCGTCACCCCCCCCCCGACACGCTGCCTCCAGCCCGCACCCACCCCACAACCAAATCCGCCACTCGGCCTTCCCCCCCACCCCAACCCGCCGTCTAAATAATCCACACGCCCCGGGCCCCCCCCGCCCCCCAGCACCCCCCCAATATCCACAACGACACGCTCCGGACACCCCACTCAGACCCCCCCCCGCCCCCCCCCCAGGCCGCCCACTCGCGCCAGGGACAGGCCATTTCTTTCCGCACCCCTCCCCCACCTCCCCCCCACACCAATACCCCCCCGAACCCCGAGTCTCCGGCTCCGAGCCTGGCGCCCACGTCACACACCACCGCCGCCAGACCGCCTATCGCCCCGAACCCACCCCCCCCTCCCCCATCCTCCCGACCGCTATTTCTACCCCTCCCCCCCCCCGCTTTCTCACCCACCCCCGCCCTACCGCGCACCCCCCCCCACCCCCCGCTCCGCACCCACCCCCTCTCACCCCGCAAACGCATTGCCCTTGCCTCTTTCCCTGACGAAACGCCTTCCCGCAGCCAACCCCCCCTTGGTCCATCCTCCCCCTCCCCCGACACCTTCTCTTCCCCTCTCACCCCGTCTTCAATCCTCCGCCACCCAACCCCCTGCCCGTTGGGACGGTCGCCCCCCCCGATAACCCACCCCCCCCTGCCTATCGGCACCCGGACTCCAACAGAGAGCCTCTTATCCCCCTCCCACGGAAATGAGTTCAAATCTCCAGTTCCCCCCCAGCCCCAAACTTTCATTAATGATTCAGACCCCCCCCCTCTTTCCCTCCCCCAAGGGACCGAGTAGATCAAATTCTCACGTCGACGGACGAATCGTAGCGTTTAGGCACGCATACGAGAATGATAGCGACTGTGACTGATAAACACCCACCGATATAAAAAGTAATTTACGACGGAGTTATCCGCACAATAAGCACACCGCGGAAACGCTCCTGGAGACAGAGGGTGGTGAGTACAGAACACGAAATAGATTTATATTTATTACCGTTTCGGGGTAACCGAATATGAATCGACGTCAATTTGTTCCACGCTCGTGTTTGGTACTTTTTCCATGAATCTTTTATTCCCTGGTCGTTGAACCGAACGTTTGGCCACTGGAACAAATTTTAATGGAAGATTCAAGAGGCCAAAATAAGACGAAAATCAGGAATATCAATTTCTTGTTTGAGGCTTCGTTAAAAAGTTATTAAAAAATTTCAAATCATTTTGAAAAAATTATTTTTAGTTACTAGGGTCAATTACAATCACTTTTGGTGAATAGACTTACCCTCGAAATCCTACACAGTTTCGAGAAAAAAATTCGAACAAATGCCTAAATTTTTCGCCTGAAAAAAAATTTTCAAATCGTTCTGAAAAAATTATTTTCAGTTGCAGGGGTCAATTACAATCAATTTTGGTGAATACACATATCCCCAAAATCCTACTCATCGTCGAGAAAAAAATTAATTACTAGAAATGTCTGACCAGACGTCGATTTGTTCCCCTTAAATTCTTCGTCGAAAAAAAAATATTTCAAATCGTTTTGAAAAAATTATTTTCGGTTGCAGGGGTCAATTATGATCATTTTTGGTGAAGAGACATAGCCCCAAAATCCTGCTCATTTTCGAGAAAAAAATTCATTACTATAAATGTCTGACCATTCATTGATATGTTCCCCTTAAATTTTTCGTCGGAAAAAAAAAATTTCAAATCGTTCTGAAAAAGTTATTTTCGATTGCAGGGGTCAATTATGATCATTTTCGGTGAATACGCGTACCCCCAAAATCCTACGCATTTTCGAGAAAAAAATTCTTTATATGTGTGGTCAGAAATTTCATGATTATAGGGCTCTAGAGTCCCAGAAAAAAGGGTCAAAAAAATACATTGGACATAAGGACTACTCTTAGTTTAACGTTAATGATCAACAAATTAGTGTTCTTGATTTTGGCATCGAGAATCATCCATTAAAATTTTTCCCAGGGCTGATCGAACGTCCTGTAATGTCGTAATAATTTGCTGCAATATTTAGCTTGTCGTGGAAAGGATCAATTGCAGAGAACGACCGATCGGCGGGAACAGATTCCCCGTGCGGCGATTTTAACGAGAAGCGCCGTTTAATATTTATGTACTCGAAGTAATTGCGTCGCGTTGCAATCGCGTCGAATCAATTTCGCGATTTTTCGACGATCCGGCGTCGCGATGTTATTAGTGAAACACGGTCCCTCAATTATCGTTTCTACTAATTATCCATCGGGATGCAGACACTCGTTTGTTTGTCTTCCATCAACGACCGAGGTAATGCAAATTTTATTTAAATCCGTATTTTATTTTCGAGAAGTGAGTTCTCTCGAGGCCCACTCGTTAATATTATTTCAAAGTTTAACGAAAGTTTATCGAATTGAAATTCAAACGGCGACCCTGTCCGCCGGTCGTTACGCTATCGCGGCGGAATATTATTTCAGAATATTTATATTCGAACGTTAAAAAACGTTAACCGTGGGGCGAAAAACCATTGGCCCTTGTGTTGGCTCTCTTGCGCATATTCTCGCGTTCCGGAGCTGTTACATCAACCATTCCGTTTTTGCATCTCTTCGATGCCCCGAGCGGTTTGCTCGAACGGTTTCACGTTCGTGTCGTCTCTTAGCAACCTCTATTTCCTTCGACTCGTTAAATAATTCATAACACGCGGAGTGTGTCGGCTTGCGTGCACGTCCCTTGAAAAATTTCAAAAAATGATGAAACATTCAGTTCGGCAATCTTCCAGTTGCCGCTCGAGTACGCCGGAAATTCAAAGACAGCATTACTTTTGCAGGACCTTTAAAAATTTCGAGAACTCTCCAATTTCCGCAAACTGCGAATAAAACGAGTGAAACGCGTACGCGAAATCCTTCGATCTCTGATTAACTCGATAAACAGTGGATTTACCAAAATAAAACGCAATTATTAAGAATTTTAAAGCGATCGATACGTAAAATTTAAAATTGTCAGAACGTTTCGATCGTTGACACCTGTCGGAGCAATTCGAGTTTTACTTTCTCGTTAAAGGAAAGGTTTCTTTTTTAAATTAAATACAAAGCAGGGCAATATTCGCGAGTATCTTAGAAGTGTTTAGACCGAGGTTATGAACGTGGAGTAATGTGACAGGGAAAGGGGACGTCGCGAAGAAAAGGCGAGCTGTCGATTCTTGCGAAAAAAGATGGATCAGCGCCGGGTCCTCCAGTTTTCTCTTTTAATGAGAAAGCCCGGGGATAAAAAGGGATACAGAGTAGACGCGTGACTCGCACGCGTCATTCCCGGTCGGTTGTTGGATTTTTTACTTTGTCCCCGAGGGCGGGGAATCATGAATATTTCATGCACAGATGTACGTACGCGCAGTCGACCGTCGGCGATCCAATTAAACGGAAATTAAATTTCCGCGTTCGGTCACCGCGCGAACGTTTAATAACCAAAACATAAACACTTACAATTTCGCGAGGAGGCCTCGTTTAAGGTAATCTCGCCCGGCTTTACAATGCGAAATTGATTCCCGATATTATCCCATTATCGCCCGCCGCGAATCCAATTTAATTGCAATCACGGAAGATCGGAATTATCTTTCAACGGCGCGAAAAAGGTTTACACCTACGCTAAAACTTTGCACGATCGAGAAGGAGCGCAGAAATGACTACTTTATTCGTCGAATTCCCGATGTTTTCTCGACCGGATGCTCGAGAAGAAAGGGACAGGACGAAAGGAAAAAAAGTTCCATCGAAACGATCCAACAATCCCCGTCGCTGTAGCTCAATTAAAGCGACGTTCAACGGAAAAATAAACGAAGAGCGACGCGCATCCATGCGTGTTTCCCTTGTTTAAGGGGTTGCATTACACACAATGCATTTAATGCACCGGGTGCGCCAAGTTTTACGGTTCTCCGCGTCCCCCCCCGGCAGAGTTGCGCCGTACTGGAATCACTGGCCGGATTTCCATTAGCCATAAAACCTCCAAGGGTGCATTCCTCTATTCCCCGCGGACGCTAAGCTCTCTCGCCGACGTTCGGCAGGATAACAAGGAATTAAGCGACGCTTCTGGACCGAATTAACGGGAATTTATAACTTGGTACCACGCCGAAGGAAACGCTGTTGTGAAATATTATTCCACTCGTCGAGAAATTATTTTCTCCGCCCTACCACGTGGTCCACGTGCAACAGATTTCGTCTTCGGATTTCAGTACCAGATACTAAAATAAAAACAAAGGGTCGATGCTTATTTAGTTACGCGTCCGAGCTTTTCCAAGCCGCAGCTGCGAGCTAACGGGAAAAAATAGAACGTTAACACCCGCGATGACAAAGTACGACGGTAAATATTTTAAAAGCTGTACGTGCTGCGCAAACTCGGTGATAAATATACAGAACTTTTGCTGGAAATATACGTGGAAACCGTGGTTTTTTCCTTTAAATATTTTTGTTTGATCAACTCCTTCGCGACGACGCGATATTTTAGAATGTTTAACGCAATCTGGGTTGAATTTCAGAGGGTTTTTCTATCGTAGGAAGAACGAGCAATGATCGCTAGAACGGAACCGTTTCTGGGTGGATGGAGGAACAGGCTGACAGGAACCGTCTACTGCAACGCGTGCACGCAAACTAGGATAAACAGACAGGACGTAAGCGAGAGGACCACGCAGACCGAATTCTCGACAGACAAATGCACGGACACGCCGTGCAACGTCACGGTTCAAGCGAATTCGTTTCCTGACAAGAGAGACAGACTCCTGGAAGCCACGAGCTTTAAGGATCCCCGAAACGAGAAGATCCTGGAGAGTGTCGTAAAGATACAGAGGTTTTACAGGTGGAGTAATGGACTATGTTAAAGTAGCGAGTAGCTCGAGAGTTGATCGTCGAGGTTTTCAAATTCAAAGATCTATCGTATGCTTGTTAAAATAGCCTAAAATATACAGCGAAGCGTTCGTTGGATCCTGTCCGCAGAGCTCACCGCTACAGGTTCACCGCGATCCGGCCACTCGGCGATAAGGACACGGCCAAGCAGGAAATACCATTGGAGCCGATGTCCTACCGTAGCCAGGATTTCGCCATACTAAACCGCACGTCCCCGAGAACGAGGACGGACTTCGAGTTGCTCTACAATCTCCTGGATCGTTGGCGTATCCGTGAAACGGAGAGGGCGAGACAACGACACTCGGATCCAGCTAGAACCGCGTTCTGCAGACTGATCCTGTCGAAAGAGATCGAGCTCCTGCGAGGCATAGACTCTCTAAAGACAGGCCTGCAGCTTAAAAGCAAGAACAAGGTCTACCGGAAGTTCCTGGACGACCTTTCCAAGCCGATAGTTTGGAGAACCGGCCACGGTGAACCGATTCTGGTGGAGACTCCACGCGTGCAGCGTGCACGACGCTTCAGGGACGCGTTCGAGGCGCTGTCGAACGAGGATGGACCGATCGGTGAACGCGTCGGGACGCTGCGTCGGCTCAGAAACGTCGTCGAGGCTCACACGTGCAAACCGTCGGACGATCTTGTGCGCTTGCTCGACCAGGAGATCGATCTTCTGGGGCGCGACGTCGACGAGAGTAAATTAAACTGGCTGAGAAATCGACTGAAGATCGCCTTTCTGATATTCGCGAGGGAAGCGCTGGGAAACGACTCGGAGGGGGCGAGGCTGATCGGTCGTAAAACGATCTGCGCCAGCTGCGGCAGATTACTATCCGCGGATAACTTTTCCTGGGTGAAACGACGCCGAGCGGCCTCCTGCAATTATTGCCAGGACGCGAGGACTCGATCCGGTCCCCGTGTCGTCTACGGGCCCTACGATAAGATGCTTCGCGATCTGAGACGCAGCGAGGCTGGAAATCGTTGCTACGCCAGCCTGGCCTTCGTCGTCGACGCCAAGATCGTTCACCGTTTGGTGAACGACGTGTGGCACGGTAAATCGGCCATTTCCCAGCGCGATCGACTCGACGAGCTGAGACTCGTGAGGCTTCGCAGGAACGTACAGTGGTCGCCGTGGAACTGTCTTCTCCTGACCGCGAACGAGGCCTCCGTGCACACCAGGATCGACGATCTCGACGAGTTCTACGGGCCAATGATGCTGCACAAGTTTCACACCAGGAATCTCCAAGCCAAACTTCTCTTCGAGTCTGTGGCTGGGATCCAAAAAATGTATCCTTGTTCATAAAATCGAATATACTATTCCTACAAACGATTCGACTCTTAGTAATTATTACCAACGACGAAACGCTAGTATTAGGGTCGGAGAAGTTACCGTCGTTCCCAGTTTTCCCTTCCCCTTCCCCGTTAGCTTTGGTCGCGTTGATAGCGCGAGTTAATCGCGCCACAGTTTATAAACTAAGTTTCCTTCGGGCAAGAAAAGAGACGAGGGATCATGGCGACGTTTAACCCTTTATAATCCCCTGTGTCTTCCCAAGCAATGTCGTCGCGCGTGTACTACGAGCGCCCTTCCGTTTAGCTAAACCCCAAATTGCCTCTCGACTCCATCGCGATACCGCCCAAAATGGAATATCCTTGCTGGATGCAAGATTCGTGAATAATTGTCAGGATCTCGAGAACAAAATTGTACGGTTCCCTTGAATTTTTGCAAATGTAACTGAGGAACCGAGAACGAATTCCGTGCGCGTTGTAATCGATTACCGATGGAAACAAAGCGCGACGAAAAGTGACGGGCGAACAACGCGCGAATCTATCCGTACAAAAAACAACGGACTGTTAAAAATGTGCATAGAAATTGGACACGATGTTCCCTCGCAATCTGTTTTCTTTTAACTGTGCCGGTGCGAAGCGAATGAGCTGCATTAATTTAAATGCCGTGGCTTTACCGCGAAAAAATAAAAAAAGATATTGCTGGCTGCGCGTTCGAAAGGGAAAAATCATAATAAAGCGTAACGAAGTGCTCGCGTTATGGGTCGTCGTTGGTCGCCGTATCTCTTATTCCACGACGAACGATCTCGTAACGCGGAAACGTTTCACGATTATCATTTATTGCGGCCTCGCCTTTTCCTATTCAGATCCGACAGAGACGAGTTTTTTTTTAAATCAACTCGATATGTTTGTTCGTGATTCTGGATGTGGTTTAAACTCGTTCGAGATCAGCGTCGAGTAAACAGTGTGTAGCGAGTGAACGGTTACAGTGGTCTGACCATACATTGTATTGCTACGTTTGCCGTGGATATATAGTTAAGCAGTTTAGGAGCGCATGTGGTCAGACGCGTAGTTTACTGTAAGACGATTATACGCTGGGTCCTGTGTGCGTGCTTTAGATACGTACGTGTGACTCGACTGTACCAAACTGAAACAATCCCTTGTTCCAATTTACCGGGTATGAATTTCATTTGGCACTTACTGCGGACCCGGGCTTCCGACATGCATGAAAGATACAAGCTCCCCTGTCTTCCTGCATTTAATACATCTCCGAGTGGAATTTATAATCTTTGCTTGGTCACCTATTTCTTTGTTTATCCCGTATTAATTATGCATACCAGAGCAATACCGTTATGAAGTTCTCGAAAACTCTAAAAGCCTCGTTTACCAGAAACTACGTCGACGATAAAACGAAAAGTTCTCCGGGTCCCAAGATTGTCTAAATTAATTTGGACGCGATCAACGTAGCCAGACAGCGTTCCCGCGAGCCGTGCTCTTAAACTATGCGCGAAAATGTTCGCAGCTTTTGGAATTCGGGTAAGGAAACTACGGGGACGACCAGAGAGAGGCGATAATTAAGAATTAATGCAAGTTTGCACCGAATCGATATCAAAGGGTTGGTAACGCGTAGAGCGGATCTCGGGGGCCAGGCGTCCATTTGCATTTAAAGCGGACCGTCTTCCCGACATTGATATATCCTTGTCTATATCGCAGTTAAGATCGACTTTATTTATAGCCCGGCTGCGAAAAGGATGGAAAAGGAGGAAAAGGAGGAAACGACCGTCCCCCCCCCCCCCCCCCCCCCGGAGTTGGAGGAGATTCTAATTTAAACTCCGACACCTTATTTCGATGCAAAACCGCGGCTAACACGCCGACCCGTAATAATCCCGTCCGGCCACTAGAGAACCGGCGACAAATTTCGCGATTTTAAGGGGACGCGAAATCTACTTCCGCGTACTTAACCCTTATCGTACAATAAGGCCATCTATTCGATGATTTTTGATGGTTTCAAACATTCACCGCGATAACCGTGGGCCAACTTTTTATTTTTAGTTACTAGGGTCAATTACAGCCATTTTTGGTGAATAGACATAACCCCGAATTCCTACCCAGTTTCGAGAAAAAAAATCGAATAGGTTTGAAATTTTTCGACGAAAAAAAAATTTGTCAAATCGTTCTGGAAAAATTATTGTTAGCTAAAGGGGCCAATTACAATCACTTTTGGTGAATAGACTTACCCTCGAAATCCGACCCAGTTTCGAGAAAAAAAATCGAATATGTTTGAAATTTTTCGACGAAAAAAAAATTTGTTAAATCGTTCTGGAAGAATTATTGTTAGCTAAAGGGGCCAATTACAATCACTTTTGGTGAATAGACTTACCCTCGAAATCCTACACAGTTTCGAGAAAAAAATTCGAATAGATGCCTAAATTTTTCGCCTGAATAAAAATTTTCAAATCGTTCTGAAAAAATTATTTTCAGTTGCAGGGGTCAATTAGAATCACTTTTGGTGAATACACATATCCCCGAAATCCTGCTCATTTTCGAGAAAAAAATTCATTACTAAAAATGTCTGACCAGACGTCGATCTGTTCCCCTTAAATTCTTCGTTGAAAAAAAAATATTTCAAATCGTTTTGAAAAAATTATTTTCAGTTGCAGGGGTCAATTATGATCATTTTTGGTGAACAGACATATCCCCGAAATCCTGCTCATTTTCGAGAAAAAAATTCATTACTAAAAATGTCTGACCAGGCGTCCATCACCGCGATAACCGTGGGGCCAACTTTGGAAGCTGGAATTCTATTATCGATACTTCGGTAAACTAATTACGCCCGAGACGAAGAAGATGTTGCGGGAAGAAGTCGCTTTGCAATTACCGAACGTAAACTGTGCACCGCGATTTAATCGACTCGCCCAGTTTCAGCTTTAATCGTTACATCTTCCATCGTTTAATTATGTCTATTTGCAATCACGATTTGACCGAAAAATAGAGGAATTTGTAGCGTGATCTGCGCTCGATGACGAGACACGTCGTTAGACTCCAACTTCCAATTAATTAGCCATCGAATTCTCGCCGACGATTAATCATTTCCCCCCCCTGTTCGGTTAATTAAAGGAGGCTAATAAACCGAAATGGGGTTGCAGGGACGATTAATTTTCAGTTTTCGTTTTGTATTTGTGACCAATAACGCGACCATCGATACGTTCGTACACAGATTCGATTGTAGCCGGGCTAAATACCAACTTTTCAGTGGCCGTGTCGCGTCGAGAGTTTTTCCCATCGATTAATCACTTTCCTCGATTAAACGACCAGGGGGGGAACTTAATAAAGCGAAAAATGGACTCGCGGCGATCGTCGATTTATATTTGTTACGAACCGGTACGCTGTTTAACGCTGGCTCATCGATGACCATCCCGGTTGATAGATTCGACCCGATGCAATGCAGAGCTCGGTTCACAATCGCGCGATAAGTGCTGGAATTAATATGAAATCGAGAAAGAGAAAGAGAAACGGTGGGTGAGGAGGGGTATGTTGGAAAGGCGGTTGGTTGGTATACATAGGTGGCCAGTAGGAAAACAAGGGGGCAGAGTGATTCATAACACGGGCATCGCATAAATTGCCGGTGATATGTTGGCGCGCAATTAGGGTTTGCTAAATCGGCATTACTAATTAGATTCGGTATACCGAGCTCGGCTCGCCGACCCTCCTCCTCTCCGTACGTATAATTGATTCGAGTTTCAAACTAATCTATACCCGGTTGCCTCTCGATGGTGATCGATAATCGTTCGCGAACGCGACCGGGGCTAAGACCCCCGCGAACCACGTCGCGAGCACGTTTCGCGCCTCTCCAGGGACATCCGGCTCGAAGATAGGTCGAACCGGAAACACGGACGTGCAGTTTGATCGCCAGAGGACACCAGGAACAATTTCCAGACAATTAGTTGAATTAAAATTTCAACCACGAGATCTTAGATGCAAACGATGCAACAAAGGCGTTAAATCGAATGCTCCGCGGTTCGCTTTGATCAAGAATAACCTTCGAATTCCGTTTGCGAGCGTCCACTTTCGCTAAATAACTTACAGCCCTGCGACACGGTCCGTCAGAATCGGGCGAAAAGCGAGCTCGTTAAATATTTAATAGCCCCCAATTACCGGGGTATCGTAACGCGAGGATATCATCGATTAATTAGCCGTCTAACTGAGGGGATAATGGCCGCGTCGTAAGAAGCGAACGCTCCGATGTTCGCGGGACCAAGAAGCCAGCCCCAGGAGCACTTTGTCAAATCTGCCGCTGAAGAGGAGCTAAATTGGAAGCTTTGTCCGCGGCACGGAGAGGGTCGTAACGCGCCGTTTAACGCGTCCCTCACACCTCCAGACATTTTTAGACGGAAACAATGGCGAGTCGGAAAATTAAACGTACGATAAAGCTCTTTATCGAGTGCGCCGCCGTGCAAACTGATGTACAGGGTTGAATCGATGGGGCTATTTAAGGTGATGGAGTTACCGATTCACCCTGTACAGTTGATGCGTTGTTTACGACCGTCCAGAACGATAAATTCGCCCCGTGTTATCTGGATTTCGATGTAAACAACACGTGACACGCGTTTCCCTGATTAATAAATCGCGAAAATCGAGCTCTGAAATTTCGATCCTCTAAAAATTCCCGATAATTAACGACGTCGCCCTCCTCCGAGCGTCGTCCGTTATCGCGTCCGGTTTCGCCGAGATAGCCCGAACAGATCGAGGCGCCGGAAACGCGGAGGACAGGAGACAAAGGACCGGGGGCTGCAGACGGTTTAAAAATGCCCGTCGTTACGCCGGAAGCCCAGGCAGCCTGTAAACAGATTATACCCACCAAACGGCTGATAATTTATGTGCTCGGAGACCGAGGAGATTTCCGTACCGCTCGCCGGACGGGATAAAAATTGTTAACGAAAACTTTGCCGCGTCTCCTTGACTCCCGTATGCATTACTGCCCGAACTTTTCGGCGAACCTAGGCTCCCCCCGGGCGCGCT